ATTAACTGATTAATTTCTGGAAAATTATTTGTTTTTTTTTTATCAATATCATTCGTCTGATACGCTAATTTTCTATAGGCCTGACGTATGGATGTAAATTTAAATTATTGATGAAGAATTAATCAGGGATTAAATCTCTTTTTTTGTTTATTTAATTATATCAATTTGAAAAACATTTAGGTCTATTCCTTTTGAGTTATACTCTTAGTAAAAGAGCAGATGTGCATTAGGAGGAGAGAATTCATTCTTATCTTTGGTCCAACTCGTAAGTGGAACTTCTAACACACCAAAAAAATCGATATCTATCGCTTTTATCTAATGCCATCTGCACTTGATTTCTCTTGAAAGAAAATAAGACAATTTCCTCTCGAAATTTCATTGTTTATGCTATAAAAAATATATATATATACTCCTGTTAAACTTAAAGAAATCTTTAAAAATTAACTAGATTCTATTTAAAAATTAAGAATATTTTATTATTAAAATCTATCAAAAGTAAATAAAATCCATATTTCCTAATGATGCTGATAGAGGATGCATAAAGAAAAGCTTTATAATGCCATTCAGTTAATCTCACGCTCTAATGAATAATTAAGTTCATTCTTACAATACCAGATGGCGCTATTAAGGGGTGATAACATTCGCAATTTTTAAAAAAATATTTTTTTCATCTCCCCAGCATCTTCTTTCTGCTCCCAACTCATCCCTTTACATCTCTATGAAGAAAGATTCGGTAAACCTCTCACAATTGAAAAACTAAGAATAAATTTATAATTTTTCTACACGTGTTTAATAATGAATAGTAATTATATATATATGGAAATATCATAAATTTATCTAACAATGCGTATACATTTTAACTAACCATTCAATTTTACTTCTATTTATCTTGAAATTTATTCTCGCCAATTTTCATTTAACCATGTGGAAAATGGGTAATTTGTATACATCATAAAGTATAGTGAAGAGTGTATGGCCGGTGCACTCATTGGTAGAACAGTCCCCTTGGGAATCACTGAAGTGTGTGATGTATATTATGTTCACTTTTCAACACCCATTGATGCAGTTTCGCTATGTGGAAAGTGTGGGACCATTTTTCTGCCAACTGTCCCGTTGGACAAGTTGTTTTTCCCTTGTCCAAATACCAAGAAAGACGTCATTTAACACGTTACTCCAAAACGACACGTTATAGCTTTTAGTAGGGATGTGGTTAAGATTTTTACGACCCCTTGTTTCCTGCTTTATCTCATCAACTTTATAATCCTCACGCGTGGCACTTAATCCATTAAATCACGCAAATGTATGTACAATATAATCATAAATTTATATTTTACTAAAGTACAATCATCCGGAGCCATTTCTGAATCATTTAACTTCAAAACAAAGGAGTGGAAGATGCTTAAATTTTACAAGAAGAGCATCACTAAAGATAGATGAGAAGTAGGAGGTTTTATAACTATTAAATCGATGGAGTTATAGTTAGGAGGGATAAAACCGAGAGCCATAACGTTGGAGTCAATAGGTAGATGTCAATTACGAGTCAAGCTTTATTTATATCGCTCGACGTCGAGAGGTCATTATCAGAAATGTGGCCTCATACGGTCGACGCTAAGATGGAAACAATTTAATGTTTAATTACAGGCCTCAGTAACGAACTCGTCTAGCTGGAGGCAGCGTGATTTAATTTTGTCCTTATGAAAATCGTCCGTAGTTCAACATTAATTTGTGTAACTGTCTTGGCGCCAGTCGAGCTGCAAATTGAGTTTCCGGACGACAAAAATTGGGTCCCTTCCGACTGAGAGTCCGTTCAGTCGCTAAACGGATTCAACGGAACGTTTGAGAGAAAATGGGTTTTCCACCCTCACCACTTGTTGGTGTAATTAAGTTAGGAGGAGAGAAAAACTCTCCTGTCCATTAGCCGCCGGCTATCGACTGTATTTACTCACAACCAGTAATCATTTTTAACGTTTGTAATTTTACAGCTGGACTCTGCTCCATTGAATCTCATTTCTAATATCGTGTTGATGGATCTTCCAATAGTAACTGGTTATTAGAACAAAAATTTCCTTTTTTTTTTTTTCTTCTTTTCTTTCTCTTCCCCCTCATCTTTCATCTCTCCAATGGCATCGTTTGTAAGCTAAAACTTCATTGGTTGTAACTTACTGCATAATGTAAATCTCTCCATACTCCTTTCGTCTTATAAATTTGGATGGAAATATTTATTCTCTATTTTCCTCATAAAACAATTAAATTTTTGATCGGCTTTAAAAAATTCTTTTCATTAATTTCCATTATTATTTTTCTAAATTAAATTTTCTTGTTGAAAAGAAGTTGTTTTTTTTAAAAAAAATTAGATTTCAATAAGAAAATTATTAATATAAAATGAAAGAAAAAAAATTAGATTTTATTAGAAAAGAATAAATTTTTTTTTCTTTAATTTTATAAATTGAAAATTAAAAATTTTTAAATAAAAAATCTACAAATGACACATTTGTTTTTATATTTTTATACATCCGTTCAGCTTTTATTTGCTTATTTTTAACATTTTTATTAATATTTTTTAATAAATATATTATAATTTAATCTACTTTACACAAATAAAACAAATTAAGGATAATATATAATATCAATAAACGGCTATACAGAAATTTGACTATACAAAAATTAATATAATTTTTCAGGATGCAAACATAAAATATATATATATACTCCTGTTAAACTTAAAGAAATCTTTAAAAATTAACTAGATTCTATTTAAAAATTAAGAATATTTTATTATTAAAATCTATCAAAAGTAAATAAAATCCATATTTCCTAATGATGCTGATAGAGGATGCATAAAGAAAAGCTTTATAATGCCATTCAGTTAATCTCACGCTCTAATGAATAATTAAGTTCATTCTTACAATACCAGATGGCGCTATTAAGGGGTGATAACATTCGCAATTTTTAAAAAAATATTTTTTTCATCTCCCCAGCATCTTCTTTCTGCTCCCAACTCATCCCTTTACATCTCTATGAAGAAAGATTCGGTAAACCTCTCACAATTGAAAAACTAAGAATAAATTTATAATTTTATTTTTAAAAAATTGTTTATTATATTTTTTACAATTTTTTTAAAATAAATTAAATCAAAAACATACAAAAAAAATCGAATTTAGTAATAAATTGTAATCAAATTTAATGAAATTCTCCACTCGCAACAAAGAGTGAATTGAAACAAATACATCTTTTTAAATTCGATTTTTTAAATTAATTTTTTTCTAAATAAAATATTTACTTTATATATAAATAATTTAATAAAATTTAATGTATTTTTTTCTATAGCAAGAATAAGATGAGTTCTTATCTACTATATATACTTATAATTGCATTTGTTGGAGTACAGCCAAGAGAATTTCTGTTTTTCTCCTTTTTTTTCTTAATTTTATCATGTATTTTAATTAAAATATTTATCGAATATGGTTCCTTTTCTAAAATTTCGACCCATTTAAAATATTTTCTTTTAAAATAATTACGTAAAATCTATCTAATTATTCATCACAATGATCGAAATGCTTTAATTACACTACTAAATCCAATCACTTCTCAATTAAACTTAATATTCTGTTCTTATTTTTATCACGAAATATTCAAAAAAATAAGAAATTTTTCTTGATTANTTGTTATTCATATTTTGTATGATTTTGTTACATTGGGGTAAAAGTCAATGCATCCTGCAGCAGGATTTCGATACTTATTAAAAAATTATTTAGATAATTTAAAATACCGTTAATTAGTAATTTATCGAATATATTTTAAAAAAATGCATAATTTCTCAGTTAGAAATCATAAACAGATAATCGTTTAAAGCGTGTTAAGTATCTCGAAAGGTTATGAAGATGGGGGAATTATTTTCGATTGGCTAATCTCCCAGTCTAGTTGCAGAATCTTCAGTTCAATTCCAGAGTAAATTGCAACCGTGTCATTTCCTGCGATGAATATGAAGCAGGAACCATACACTCAGAGTTGGTTTTTAGATCGATTTGAGAGCAGGAAACTGGCTAGAGACTTCTATTGTCTCCAGTATATACTTCTCTTCATTCTAAGAATTAGATAGAATTCAATTTTGACGGGGGCAAACACAATGTAATTTAGATAATAGTGTTGGCGAAAGTGAAATAGATTGAATTCGCAATATTGGATGCACCTTCTTCACAGTGAAATATTTCTAACCATTTGCAATATCTTGTGCATTCTATTCATTCGAATAAAATTATTTTCTTTCTAGTAATTACAAAATAGCCAATATTCACTAAAAAATCATCGTCACTCTCTTAGAAAATGACGCATCTCTTTCTCTCTCTCTCTCTCTCTCATCTTCCTTATCTTTTTTTTTTCCTTTATACTAAATTTAATTTTAGTCCCGAAATTTTGTTTCTGTGCCGTTCTTGATTTTTGGATTTCATCTAAAAATATATTTTTATACATAAATCTATTATATATATTCAACTATTCATAGATTTGATTCAAATTATATTACATTAACATAGAGTAAAATCTAGTTTTTATGTTCCAAGAATGATGAAAATTATATATTATTAATAATGTAATTTTTCTATCTTTAAATAGCTAAATACTCTTTCAATTTATTTTTTTTTCTTTAATATTTTCCTTGTTTCCTTTACGTTATTAATATATAATTACATCAGCTACGTTTCGCATCAAACACTTCATCGTTTTGAAATGAAAAGAAATCATTCGCCAAGATGAATTTTGCATACAACATTTATCAGAATCTAATTTATTTATGTTAAGTTAAAATTAAAAAATAAAATAAATTGTCTTTAAGTCTAAATTTAACATAAAAATCTTTCTGAATGATTAAAAAATATATAATTAATTTGAATCGAAATTAATGATGGTGTTGCCTACGCGTTATTAAATAACCAAGCTTACAATGAATAAATTTCATATCTATTTTAATATGACTTGGTCAAAATATAGAAACAAAACATGGGAACTACCAGGGGATCCGCGAAAACATATGATACGCGAGATGAGAAATTTTACATTCCTATTTTGTTTTTTTTAATGGATAGGGTAATATCTACACTAGGGCATATCCTTTGTTAATCAGTTCAACATGTTCTTTAGCTTTCATCCTCAAAGCAACGATGCTCGAGCTTCGAGGATCTTCCGCCAATTTCTCGTTGGAGGCTACCGAAAGATTTAGTGGACTAGATGGATCCAATGCCGCTGTCGTAACCGAAGAATTGGGCAAAAGTCCATTGAGCCCTCCGGATAACGCGAGTGATGTGGGAGCGGCGGGTGTCAGATAACTGGGATATACGGTATGAGGATGAGCTAAGAATCCTGGCAATCCTGTCAACGAAGAACCGAGCAGAGGAGATGTGATCCAAGGATCTAGAGTCAATGGACCAGATGGACTGGTCGATGCTGGAGAGCAAGTACCGAGAGACGGAGAAATTCCTGGAGTCGGTGATTGAGACCTTGGAAGATTGGAGGATGCTCCCGAATAATCTGAAGTCACGTGACTACCCAATGTCCGTAACGCGTTTTGACTTTCCAATTTTTCTTGTCGTCTCCATTTTGCTCGTCTATTTTGAAACCAGACCTAAAAAAAATAATGATAATAATAATTAAAATATTTATAAAGCTAAAAAAAAAATAAGGCATTCAATTTTAATAAACTGTAAATTATTTTCTTTAATATTAAGTCGCTATTTAATTACGATAAACTAAGAATAATTGAAGAGGATAAATTATTATAATTCATCATCTTAACTTATTTTTTAACGTTAGAAAATAAGAAAACGGTACAATATATTAAGTTTATGTGAATAGAATTTTTAATAATATTCATGAAATTATTCAAATTAACTAAAATATTCATATTATAAAAATTATTTTTTTAAATTAAAATGTAGATCAACGTCCTTTAAAGAGGAGGGGAGAAAAATGGACTTTTCGTAAATAAATAATTTACTTAATCACATTTTAAGAGTGATGATTCACTCGTATCATATTTAATTCGTCACGAAATCATCTTCCTCTTCTATTTACTAACAAATTTCTAAATTATTTTAAAAATTGCCACACTGATTTTTACAAGTTTACAAGTAAAAAAAAACAAAAAACGAACCTTTATTACCGACGATACGAGTAATTCATGTATTGACGATACAGAGAAAATTAGTTTGAATAACATTAGGCATTAAATGAATTTAGTATGCAAGACGAGTATGCATATATCGGTATCAAGGGGTGGACAGAATTGCCGTGACGCACGCACAGCCCGTCAAAAGTAACAAACTGATCCGAGAAGACGATTGCGTGATACTCCGCCCCTCCATTGGTACAGTTCGGGGTCAGAGGTTGACAAATGGAGTGCTGATGGATTCAGAAAGAAGTGAACAGCAAAGAATAAGGAACAGTGCCAGAATTAGCTGATATCACGCTATCAAAACGTCAAACTAGTAATCAGCATTTGCTCTAATCAGTTCTCTTTACTTTATTCTCTCATTTATAACTCCCATCTTAAATATTATTCACTAGTTTTTATGACTCAACTACTCTTTATTAAAATATCCATATTAAAACAACGAATTTAAATGATTTGCAATAGTTAAATTGCTTTAATCAATAAATAACTTTCATTCAATACTTTCGACGTATTATACGTAATTAAAATATTTATATACGATTATTTTGACGTGATTTTATAAGTGGAAACGTTTGAAATATATTTTAAACAATTATATATAATTAAATATTAAATTATGCAATAATCATTAGTTAGACTTTAATACTATTTAGATAAATTAGGAGATAAGCATTATACTGAAATGTAACAATGATTATTTCCTGATCTGCATATCAAGGCTGCATGTAGCGAATATCTTTACATTATTATTAGGTTATTTTAAAAAGGAATTAACCCATTAAAAAAATATTAAATAAAATTAACAAAATTTTAAATTTATTTATAGATCTTTTCGGCCTGTTAAAAGCCTATAAACACATTTATATTTTAACATTAACATACATTTTCAAGATATCTAAATAATGTTTAAATTTAATACAGATAATAATCATATATTAACTAAATATCGATTTTCTAGAAAAAAAACTCATTTTTTTACTCATATTTATGCAAAATTTAAAAGCTAAAATAGGCTATTTTCTTATTCATAGAACCTTTCCCTCATTCATCAGAATAAATAATAAAAAAAAAATTATATATATAAATCTCTCTACTTTTTTAAAACATTTCTCAGAACCAAATTTATTTTATTTTTAATCATATTTTTTTTACTTTAAAAAAAATGTTTTTTAAATATAAAAACGGTGGAAAATATATCAGAAAAAAATGGTGTGAAAATGTTATCATAATACAAATAAATTACCGTGTTATTTTACCATTGAAAAGCATTATAAATCACGAATTTAGTTATTTGTAAACTGTATAAAAGTTGTAGGAAAACAAATTAAAATATCAGAGTTAAAAGTCCCAGTTTAATCATAACTCATCAAAGTTTTAAATAATGAATGTTATAAATATATAATGAACTCATTAGCCTATTTGTTGTAATAACAAATAAAAAGCATTACCTCGTCAATTCTGGGAAAATTGAATAGTCGAGCACTAAAGTAGACTAATTAAAACATAGTACTTTAATTATATCTCGGTGGTTCCATTTTGTACACGTCCACATACGCAGAAAACATTTTATTCGTTCGAAATTCCAGATTAAACGGAGTGTGAAGTTAAAGAGAAGAAATATTTTTATACGTATAAATGATATTAAAGGTTTTCTTTTACGTATAAACTAATAAATTACACAAATCTCAACTATATTTTATGCTAGAGAATAAATTTACACTGATACAGTAACATTTTAGCGCCCCTGTAAATCAATCTTTCCTGTAAGATTTTAGTATTATACAGGCGTGCCTGACGTACAGGGGCAATAATAATTTCAGACTAGAGAATAATAATCAAGGAATCTCAGTGGATTTGCATGTAATTCTTGTAGATTCAAATCTTTCAGATAACGTCAAAGATAGTCAACTCCACCCCAGATTACTTCTTCAGTAAATTATTTTTGACCTTGACCTCATCATTAAAGAAAATTTTTACGCTTTGTATAACTCAATTATTTTATCTAAAGGAACAAAGATTTAATTATATAATTATACAAATAAATTAATTAACTTAATAATCGAACTTTATACAAAGTTAAAACTAAAAAATTTTTTAAAGTTTTATTTTAAAATATTTTACATCTTTAATTAACTTTAAAGCTTCATTTAATTAAAATTAATTATTTCGATTTTTGTATAAGCAATTAAATTAAGTAAAGAATGTTATTTTATTACATTTTTTTATATTTTTTCCTCGTATTTTTAAAGATATTATTATTATTATTATTATTATTTTAAATATATTTATTCGTTAAAGGCAATCGATTAAGTAAATTCTATCTCACTAATTAAGGAATTTAAAGTAAAATTAATTAGGTATTAAATTTAATTCTGTAGATTATAAAAACTTGCATGCATCATTATTTATCGAAGAATAAAGTAGCTTTTCTACTAGTTTAAAAGGAGGAAAAAAAAATTTAAATTTACGAATTGTTACAAAAGAATATATATATAAAAAAAGTGAAGAGAATGTTTTGAGTTTATACCAGATCAGAATTTTGTAGAGGTTTCAAAGCCAATATTTCAAAGAGATTGACCAAAATTTTTATTCATGGATGGAAATGTCAAATAGAAAATTTATATTTCCATTCTCGGAAAACATCTAGAAGCGACTGTTGCACTTTATACAAATGGTTGACGCTTAGAACAGAATAACTTCACTCTTTACACAGGAAGAATCACATTTTTTTTTGTGATTTTCTAAAAGAAAGGTTATCCTTAAACAACTGGGTTTTTCGGTGAAAAATGTTTGAAATCGCCCGGAGATAAAGAAAATTTCTTTTGGAATCTTTTAAGTGTATAACAGTAGAAAAAAAAAGTCTTCAAAAGTATTGAAAATTCAATGACGTTAATATAATGTTTAGATACATAAAATAGGCTTTGTAAGGCCTGACATTTAGATATATTTTAAACATAAAAGTCTCGTTTCTAAAACATTCAGTTCGAATATTTTAATAAATTAAATTGAAATACTGTTAATAATTATTAAAATTAAAATAATATAAAAAAACATTTACGATAATTGTGTATTTTTAGTGAGATATAACGCTTTATTACACGGTGAGAAAGCTGTAGATTTATCCTCTACTTTGTTTTAATATACTTTGAATAGATATTTAAAAAAAATGTATACTTTAGCAATAAAAAAATTATAAAAGGAAAGAATGTTTTATTTTACTATTTTTGTTTCTAGATATTAATTTCCCTAGAGATTAATTCGTTTCTAGCTGATTCTACCAAGATACTTCCCGTCTTTTAAAGCAGGAAATGAAGATGCAATTTCCTGAACACGTTTCTAGCCAATAGTGAAGAAGATAGACCTGGAGGGACGTCTTCTGTGTGAAAACAGCCATAAGTTTTGTAAACATACCAAGTACTCTTTTTATCAAATTGTACAACTTAGTTAATAGAGAAGAGAGTTACTAAAATCGTGATAAAATCTTAATAAAAATTTTAAAAAGAGGTGAAGAAAAAATTCTATAACTTACTTGAACTCTAACTTCCGGTAAGTTAACCTTCATAGCTAACTCTTCACGGCTATACACATCTGGATAATGAGATTTTTCGAAAGCTCTTTCCAATTCGTGTAGTTGGTAGGTGGTGAATGTTGTCCTGTTTCTTCTATGTTTCTTTTTAGGACCGTCGTCTGTACCTCCATCTTCCCCCAAATCGTCAGAGGGAGGGTCTTGTCTCTCTACTCCTTCTGCTGCCAAAGAGAACGAAGCCGGTTAGCCACAACAGTCAAAACTTCTAACCTAACATCTGTTGTAAACATTCTCCCATTCACCTTGCTCCCAGCGGGGAAGGAAATTGGGCTAAGCCTTTGTGAAACATTCGCTTATTTACAGATTAGCTGGAGCCAAAAACTGGCGGCACCAGGCTTACCCCCAAGGCAAAAAGATCTACTGGTGAATAGAATACTTGTCAGCCTTGTAAACTACTTTAGAGGGTTAATTTTAAGTACTCTTGGCTCAAATTACACATTTTCTAGTCGCTACTTTTTGTAGAATAATCTTTAAACCGTTTAATTTTGCTATTCTTAACGATAATTTTTCACCAATTTTCTTTAATATATATATATATATATAACCGGTGAAAAATTATAACGTTTAATGCATTCGTTGAAAAATTATTAAATCTTTTCAAAGATATTTCCATGTGTAATATTTCATGCCATGATTTACTGTATCGTTTAATACTTCGCTATAAAGCGATCACGCAATGTGCAACCTCCCATTTTTTGATAATTATTAACATTATATGATTAAGGCCAAAAATTATTCTTACATTATAACAATTTATGTATATATTTATATGATTTTATAATAAAAAAAATGATCTTAATTAACTTCTAGCTTTATAACAAATTCTAAGCTAAAAAATAGGTTATAAAATGATTTTTGTCTATTTTAAAGTAGGTTCTTATTAATTTAACGTTTAAAATTTCAATTTTATTATTTATTCTCTGCAATTATTTTAATAATAGAGCCTTTGGGATATATATTTAAAGATTTAATATTATATTTATACATTTTATAAATAATTTTGCTAAGATAGTTTTAATAGAAAATTTAATAAAATATATGAAAATTAATGACTTCTTTATAATGGAAAATATAAAATACAAATAAATCTTTCATTCTAACTTAATAATAATTTAAGATATTTATATAAATCGTGTAATTTATAACAAGAAGTCACGTCTAAATTCGCCATAGCTTACTATTACGCATGATAGAATTAGCATTAGCGAAATAATAATATATCTTTAACATTTTAAAGCAAATTTTTAAGCAACTGTAAGTAATTCTGCTTACAATTTTATAAAGAACGAATTTTATAAGCGGCTGAAGATGCAGCTAAATTCGTATCAATTAATGGATGCTATAACTTACCAACGTATCGTATTCAGAATAAATAGAAATAAAGACTTTTAAACCATATAAAATTACGATTTTAAGATATATTAACGAATTATTTACTCTATAATTTATTTTTATATAAATATCTTCTGTATAAAAGTCGTAAACATTAAGAGAAGTATCAGTTAAATTCGCCTACAAGAAAATAGATAAAAGTAATTTAATATTAAGAATTAAAGCATTAAATAGAGAAGGCCTATAACTTTATAAACATTCGCATAATATTTTANTTATAATGGATTAAAAAATATATATATATATATATAGCCTTAAAAAAATCACTTCAAACACTTTTATCCTTTTAAATATCCTCACACTATTTTTAATTAATAAAAATTATCCTTAAGTTTTCAAAATTATCTTGTATACAATTTAAAATTATGTATGAAATTTTCCTTTAATTACATTACACAACGAATTTTACGTGTTTATTTTAATAAATTATAACATGATCCCGTTGATGATTACAATTATTTTAGATATAATTTTTATCGACTCGCTAATGGATTTAAGTCGTTGTTTTCATTAATTTTCTATATATATTTTCTACAATTTTTGATGCTCTTATAATCAGAAAAAAAAAACCCCGCTCCTAAGACGACTTTATCACAATTTTAACGCAGTAATTTGGTAATTGTCAATTGAAGAGCATTTACTAAATTTATAGACAGGAGTAGATAGATCTAATAAGATTTTAGTCCCTGGAGATCTTTCTATCTCAACAAGATTATAGAGAATGGAGAATCAAAGAAAAAAAAAACTAGAAATAAATTTAGGGCCTGTTTAATAATATTAAATTTATGAAATATATTCTTCAATGAGGCCTTACAACCTTTAGGTTTTAAAATGCCTGAAGATAGAAGTCTATAAGGCTCATTGAATTTATAGAGAATGAACTGAATTTAAAAGTTATAGAGTTTGCTTCATGTTGAAATTCTTTATAAGAGCTTTCTTCGTGCATTTCAGAGCCATACCTACGCAAATTCAGGCATTTTAGAGCCTTACCTACGCAAATTCAGGCATTTTAGAACCTGCTACAAGCAACTTCAGGCATTTTAGAGCCTACTGCAAGGAAATTCGGGCATTTTAGAGGCTGTTTCGTGTAATTTAAAGCCTAAATAAAGCATTTTGGAGCATACATCGTGGCTTAATACTATAATTTACAGACTAAATATAATAACATTCGTGTTACATCTACTCTATCTAACATTTTATGCAAACGTAAAAATATACATCTAAGTTTAGAGCATCATTTCTAATAATCTTAATGTTTTCCTTGTGACTCTAAACAAAATCATAATATTTTATTTATAAACTTATTACTTATACTAATATAAATTTAGCCTAGTATTTTTGTTTTTAATAGTTTTGAAGCTGTAAGAATATTCTATCAGTTTAAATTAGTCATAAAATTGTTTGAATTTTAGAAAGTTATAAACAAAAGCATTTACATAGGGTATCGTGCAAGAGAATTAACGTATGAAAACTGACGTGATAGGCGTGAAAATTGAATTTTTTTCATTATCCCAAACTATAGAAATTACACAAGAAATTATAAAAATTAATTGTATGTATAATAGCAATAGAAATATATACAAATTCCCACGCATAAGCTCGAAATTCATACATTTATCATAAAAAAAAATTGGTTACATTTTTCCGAAATTTATACAAAGAATAAATATATTAAATACCAAAGAACCGTAAAATTGTCTTTAATTGACTTTAAAATGAGAGATTTTTTACCGATCTATCGGCTTTTTTCTCTATATAATCCTTTAATAGAGATGTCTTTAGTGAATGGTCTGTTGCACTTAGTGTAATGATGGTTCACTTATTGCTATCATCGACGATGTAACAATAATACAAAAAAGTGAACTACAACAATTACTTCGCTCCTATCTAATCATCGTATAATTAATTGAAATTATTAGAAAAGATAAATATTTCGTTAATAATTTACATGATTTAGTTAGTTCTTCCGTCGAAATTTCGATTTTATAAGACCAAATTGTCCATAGAATAGTAAACGTGACCGTCTGTCACGCACCCCAAGCAAAATGATGGGAAGTTAAAGCCACTAAACTGTGGCTGCATTTGTTTTCCCTGCGGTGACTCCGATAATTGATCAATTGTAAATTATATACATAAATTTCCCTTCTACATAATCTGTAAAGATTAAAATAAATANAAGCATTTTGGAGCATACATCGTGGCTTAATACTATAATTTACAGACTAAATATAATAACATTCGTGTTACATCTACTCTATCTAACATTTTATGCAAACGTAAAAATATACATCTAAGTTTAGAGCATCATTTCTAATAATCTTAATGTTTTCCTTGTGACTCTAAACAAAATCATAATATTTTATTTATAAACTTATTACTTATACTAATATAAATTTAGCCTAGTATTTTTGTTTTTAATAGTTTTGAAGCTGTAAGAATATTCTATCAGTTTAAATTAGTCATAAAATTGTTTGAATTTTAGAAAGTTATAAACAAAAGCATTTACATAGGGTATCGTGCAAGAGAATTAACGTATGAAAACTGACGTGATAGGCGTGAAAATTGAATTTTTTTCATTATCCCAAACTATAGAAATTACACAAGAAATTATAAAAATTAATTGTATGTATAATAGCAATAGAAATATATACAAATTCCCACGCATAAGCTCGAAATTCATACATTTATCATAAAAAAAAATTGGTTACATTTTTCCGAAATTTATACAAAGAATAAATATATTAAATACCAAAGAACCGTAAAATTGTCTTTAATTGACTTTAAAATGAGAGATTTTTTACCGATCTATCGGCTTTTTTCTCTATATAATCCTTTAATAGAGATGTCTTTAGTGAATGGTCTGTTGCACTTAGTGTAATGATGGTTCACTTATTGCTATCATCGACGATGTAACAATAATACAAAAAAGTGAACTACAACAATTACTTCGCTCCTATCTAATCATCGTATAATTAATTGAAATTATTAGAAAAGATAAATATTTCGTTAATAATTTACATGATTTAGTTAGTTCTTCCGTCGAAATTTCGATTTTATAAGACCAATTGTCCATAGAATAGTAAACGTGACCGTCTGTCACGCACCCCAAGCAAAATGATGGGAAGTTAAAGCCACTAAACTGTGGCTGCATTTGTTTTCCCTGCGGTGACTCCGATAATTGATCAATTGTAAATTATATACATAAATTTCCCTTCTACATAATCTGTAAAGATTAAAATAAATATAATTTATTGCGCTATGAAACTGTAATCGCATATATTTAAATGTCATTATTTATCAATTTATCATCTTTATTATTATTGTTATTATTATTTATAAAAATTTAATCTTTAATAGATCTAAATTTATCTTGGTGTTCTCATTAATTACAAGTTTAGTTTAATAATAAGAGTATTTTTTTGATTTAAAAAAAAAATCAATTTTATACTATAATTTCGTACGTTCGTTTGTCTGTTTTCGATGAACATAAATTATAACACTTAATTTTGTATTTTATAATTATTTATTTAATATTAACTGATTAATTTCTGGAAAATTATTTGTTTTTTTTTTATCAATATCATTCGTCTGATACGCTAATTTTCTATAGGCCTGACGTATGGATGTAAATTTAAATTATTGATGAAGAATTAATCAGGGATTAAATCTCTTTTTTTGTTTATTTAATTATATCAATTTGAAAAACATTTAGGTCTATTCCTTTTGAGTTATACTCTTAGTAAAAGAGCAGATGTGCATTAGGAGGAGAGAATTCATTCTTATCTTTGGTCCAACTCGTAAGTGGAACTTCTAACACACCAAAAAAATCGATATCTATCGCTTTTATCTAATGCCATCTGCACTTGATTTCTCTTGAAAGAAAATAAGACAATTTCCTCTCGAAATTTCATTGTTTATGCTATAAAAAAAAATATATATATATATATAGCCTTAAAAAAATCACTTCAAACACTTTTATCCTTTTAAATATCCTCACACTATTTTTAATTAATAAAAATTATCCTTAAGTTTTCAAAATTATCTTGTATACAATTTAAAATTATGTATGAAATTTTCCTTTAATTACATTACACAACGAATTTTACGTGTTTATTTTAATAAATTATAACATGATCCCGTTGATGATTACAATTATTTTAGATATAATTTTTATCGACTCGCTAATGGATTTAAGTCGTTGTTTTCATTAATTTTCTATATATATTTTCTACAATTTTTGATGCTCTTATAATCAGAAAAAAAAACCCGCTCCTAAGACGACTTTATCACAATTTTAACGCAGTAATTTGGTAATTGTCAATTGAAGAGCATTTACTAAATTTATAGACAGGAGTAGATAGATCTAATAAGATTTTAGTCCCTGGAGATCTTTCTATCTCAACAAGATTATAGAGAATGGAGAATCAAAGAAAAAAAAAACTATGTAACTCATAAAATCGAGAAAAACATTCGAAATCTGTTTATCTATAATTATTTTTTAAACTAAAATATTAATTGTTTTGTTGAACAATTTTCATGCTTTTTTTTTAAGTGAAAATTTGGTTTTCTTATGGAAGTTTCTTCAATTTATTTATTTGATAAAGATATATTTTAAGCATTTATCCCTCTTTTCAAAGATGATTTAATCAGATTAAAAGAAGATTAATCTTTACTTACCGAAGGAATTCTGGTAAAAACTAGTCGAACGGAACTGTTTGAATAAGAGAACCAACAGATTGAAAGTAGAAAGGTGTCGACAAAGTGACAAGCTCAGTTAAGTAGTCCTCCATCTGTCTGGTTTGTCCTTTCATCGCTCGTACCGCCATTGATGGGTAAAACTTAAATAGCCGCTATTAGACACAGCGCAAAGATATAGAATTACAGTACAGGTGGGGGAAACATTCCGTCTTGTGAACAAAGAAATCCCCCCAATTGCCAACAGCATAGGGAAGGCTATTTAGTGACAGCTTAAGTTCGCAACCGACTATAAACCTTTATAGGCCCAAGGGTTTCTCCAAAGAAAAATAAGAGATCTGCTCTTCTAATTCTATACATCAATGTACATCATCCCATTCATTAGACTTCTATGTACTATACTTTCACAAATAAAATTTTTACAAGATAAATAAATTTCCTATTTTTTTTTTTTTTTTAACGTTTAAGAATCTTTAAAATAAAAAAAAATAATAATAATTCGAGATTTACGCGATTTAATTTAATTTTATTTCATTAAAAATCTATCCATTAACTAAAGATCTTTACGAAGCGAATCTTTAGTAAAATCTTCTCGTCTTTTGTTTAAACTTGTAAAGAGCAATTAGAAGACTTAATTAGATTTTTAATGAATCTGTTTTAAATTAGAATTATCTGTAAGAAACTAAAAGAAAAATATATCTAAAACTTTAATTCTACGTAATTGGCAAATGTATTGGTTTGTACTTTAATTCGAAGATTTAAAACTGTACACGAAACCTTTAACTGAAGAAACTGTCGGTGAATATTTAATTGAATAAATTGTACAAAGAAACAGTATAAACAAATCTTAATTGAAGAATCTGTGCAAGAAACTATACATAAAAAGCCTTTAATTATATAAGAAACTGTACAAAAAAATCATAATTAAAGAAACCTTAACGTAAGCGCTTCTTAAACGTTCGGAAACAAGATTTTCTAGTATAAATTACTGTTCAAAATTCGAAAATCACAATAGAAAACGAGAAAATTGACAAATTACAACTCGACTTTTATATGTCTTTTGTATGAAATCGGTTTAAATTATGGGAAAAGAAAAAGAATAGAAGCATTAGCTATTGTTTAATTGAAGACTTGGGTACCCAATGACTCAGATTATCAACGGCAATTGTAGAGTAAACAACGAACTAACACACAACGGTGTGTAAACAAAATTATACGTCTCGTCTGAACCCAACAATATCAACGGAGGTCCATCAAAGTACCGTAGTCTTCCCCACTGTTCAAATCCGCTGGAGCATAGAATCTGTATTGACAGGTGGGTTTGTGAATAGTGTTCTGTCACTCTACAGGATGAAGCTTATGGCCGGCATCTGCTAAAAGAAACTTTCAACAAAATTCAAAGAGATTTGCTAATATTAACAAGAAAGACACAATAGATAAACCCCAAAACTGGATTTTAATGATGTAATTCTCTTGTTAAACAATTTCGTTTTACGGAAATAAAAAAAAAAGAAAAAGAAAAACGTTAAGCCCTTCTTTAAATAATTATTAAAATCATTTTAAAGAATTTGTAAATCAAGATTAACATATTAAAATGTATACATTAAAGTTAAATTTCTTATAATAATGTTATATCATTAATAAATATTCATAGAAATCTTTTAAATTCATTAAATAATCGTAAATTATTGAAGATGCTGAACTGATAAGGAGGATAAATTGATGCGGAAGATGCTGGAATTTTAATGCTAAACAATCTTTCTAATTATAGAAACATAAGAATAAAACCTGCGTTGTGTAATTTCTTATACAATTTGTAATAAAATATAACATTACAAATTTAAAAATTATAGTAATAATTGTTATTAACATAACATAAATTATAATTAATTTAATTTATTTTATTATCCGAAACTTCGTAGGCCTACTATAAAATGATTAAAGTAAGAACGATACGTAAACATATATATATATATTAAAAAAACACTTCTTAATATTTAAATTAAAAGAAAAATAATGATTTATCGTATTTAATTTTATATTTTAATCACTATCGCTTAATTTAATTAGGAAAGTAATAAGCTAATGTGTGTAGCAGAGTTACCTAATCAATTTTTGTTATTTATGCTATCGGAAAATAGAAATTAAGAAGAAGAAACATTGTTCTAATCTACTAAAAATATAATAAAATATTCTCGATTCATGCTTAGACATTCATTTATAATTTACTAATGCTCTTAATATCATGCGTGATTTATTTAAAAATATATTTAACCTTATTTTCTTAGGAATTTAAATATCATTAATGCATTTTAATGATATAAAATTCTCTACAGCTGTTTACGTTCGAAGAATAGATTATGTATCTGTAATAATAATAATAAAATAAAAAAAAAAACACCCCAATTTAGAACCTATCTAGATTGAAGATAATGGATATTGAGCGATACGTAGGACGTAGAAAGTGCTTAATGTAGTCTATTGATCTAAAAAGGCTAATCAATAAAGTTCAATCATATAATAGGACCAATTAGTTTTATCTCAAATATGATTGATCTTTAAAAAAAAAAAAACCCTACGCTAATGAATTTTGAATAATTCTTTGTTTAATTTTAGGTAATGTAAATAGGTAAAATGATAAATCTATTCGATTTTTTCTATATAAAATTAGGTTTTAAAGTTGATTTTAAGAGTATTTTTGCTGTATGCGAGGGCCTTTTTTTTGTGTTGTAAACGATAGCATTTGGTTGATCTTATTTTAATTTTAAGCGATTTTTATTAAGTTAAAAAACTAATTTATCTTTGTATAAAAGTAAATTTTTAAGTAGATTTTAAAGCCATTTTTTTATTATAAAATAAAGGTTTAGTTTTGTTTTTGTATAGGAGAGAATGACAAATTGTTACGTTTAGTGGAAAGTCTTTCTGTATATCTCAGTTACATTTTGTTAATTCAGCAAAGAAAAAAAATTATCGAGTAATTTTAAAGGTAATTTTTCAAGTTAAATAGATTTATCACCTTATGAATACCAGGTTCTAAAGGTAAAATAAGATTAAAGTGGCGACTCACGAAATTTTACGCCGGCTTTTCAATGTCATCCATTTATGTTGAGTTGGTTGTGTTTGTATAGAGATGGGAGCCGTGCTTTACTTGTATGAATTATTGTAACATGCTAACTTGTCACGCGAACAGAAACTTGTCCTGTTCGAGTCTAATTTGATCAATGATACACAAGAACAGGGTCTAAGGTCTGGAAATCGACTTTAGTTACAAAACCGTAAGTGACGGGACTTACGTTTAGATCTTATTATTTTCCACAGATATTTAAATTCACGCAATTAGGTCTTATCACGTGTCATGCAATATTTAGCATACAGTCACCGAATAGGCGCTACAACGGCTCAAACCAACGGTACAAGCTAGATAAATCATGTACTCCGCCCAGTGTCGCACGCTGTCCGCATGTCAAAGAGGCAAAAGCACACGATTGTCCACCACAATCGACCCATTATCTTAATTACTGTTACAGAGGGAGGGTCGAATAAAAAAAAAATATATAACATTCTAGCTACCGACTTACCGTTATTGGTTTGTTCACGTTCGTTAGACACCAGACTCAACAGGGGAGATTCTAGGTTATGTTGAACACTGTCCGAATCTACCGCGGGTCTCTTCCTTCTTTTCAGTCCCAATATGGCATCGATGGTATGCGTAGGTGTAGTATTAGGTCTATTTTCGTCCTGACCGTGTCCGTTACTGGAAGCCTTAGCTCTTTCTGTAGGGCAAACAGTACACTTCTGACTTGTCAGACCCACGTCCATGTTTGTATAGAGTTTCAAGGCACCAATGATGACGAAACGTCAGGAAGCCATAATCTGAACCATGCAGCAGGTGGATAGGGCACAGAGAGGTCGCGCGATGTCCAGACAGATCGTGGAGGTTCGGCTTTCACGCGCCAACAACTCTCTGTGATTGGGCCTTCCTTTTCTATTAAGTAAGTGCACCGTGTTGTTCTATTGATCGTCGACCAATGGGATTACGTAGCTGTATATGACAGAAGCGAACGTCTAACCAATGGCACACGTTGGTAAGGGTGAAGGTTAGTCGAGATTTGTGCAATTAAGTGTTGTGTGCCGGACTGATTAGAGATGAGGAGTTAAAAGGATGGGGATGTTGCCCCGTTTTCAGGAAACACTTGACTTTAATCGCTCGATAACTTAACCTGGAAATCCGCAAATTATTTGCATTTATCTGGATGATTTAATGAATCGTTTCGCCCATAAACTAACATTATTCTATATAGAAATGTTCCTTTCTCTCTCCAAATCTGCATCTCTGCTTAAAAAANTTTAAATTGTCAAAAAATGTTTTATTATAAAAATAAAATTAATTTAACGAAAATTCGTACAATTATCGATAATTTTCATTAGTAAATATAGATAAACTGTATTAAACTTAGCTTATAAATCAGTTGTTTATCCAGGTTTGAATTTATATTTTATTGCAAAAACATCGAATGCTCTACTACTAGAAAAAAAGACGTTATATAGCCCACATTTCTCAACCAGTAGATCGCGATCCCCGAGCAATCCATCCAGATAAATCCACGCTTTTCCAATGCGTTTAAAAGAGACACCGACCAAAAACAAGTTGGAAAACAATAGTTTAAATTTGCATACAACACATCAAAAATAGAGAAAAATTAACATTAATTTCTAATGCTTACAAATAATAATTTTTGATTATGCGGGTTCGAACCAACCAATCATTTTATTTTTAAAATAGTGTGTTGTATTGACAAATCTTAAACCGTCGATAGTATATTTCTATCCATGAGAATACGAACCATTTTAAAATACCTTTATAGTAAGAGGATGGTGTTCGGATCCACACGGATTTTTTTTTTTTTTACTTAAACGAATGGGATTTCTTTGCAGAAAACTAAAACTTATCGATTATATATATGTTTTTTAAAGGTAATTGTGGCTTATTTCATCCCCCTTTTTCCATAAAGTCGATAGAGTTTCTCTACGCACCTGCAACGGTTAAAGGTCGTTAAGGCCCTTCTATTTTCCAATTGATCCATTTTTCTACTTTGCGTGTAATTATATTTTAGTTATTTATAAATTTCAATCATAATTTTTCAAAAAATACACGAACATTTTTTGGCAAAAATTATACAAATTGATAAACCAAAAAAAAAAAAAAATCTATTATTTTCGAATCAAAAATTAAATTTTGCAATGAATGAATTTATAATTTACTGTATTTAAATTACAAATACGAGAGGGTGTGGCGTTTGTAAATGATGATCTTGAGCAATAAAAATATAAAAAAATGTATATTAAAAATATATAATGCGATTATATTATTCATGAATATATACTTTTTTTTTTCTTTTTTAAATATATTTAAGATACGTTTCGTTGATTATGTATTAAAGTATGAGAACCCCCCTACCCTTGTAATACTAAAAACATTACTAGTTAAATACTTCTGTGAGTTATATTTTACTAACAAACTCCATCACGTAATTATACTTAAGTTTTCATTGATTTAATATTCTAGACAGTTTTATATAATAGGTTTATCGCAAAATAATACTTGACAGTATAGAGTATGGCCTTGTGATAGTTTCCATAATACACTCCACGTGACCATATCTGTGTAATTACATTAGCAGTAATTATTAATTTCACTCAGGTAATTATGAATGTATCAGTTTTTCTGCACACATCAGGTGTCAGCCTTAAGTGTAATTAAGTAAAATAATAGTTAATATAAGCATAACAATGAAAGATATTAATCATTTTAACGACTTGGACCTATTTTAAATTTAATTGTAAAATAATACATTATCTATTGTATAGTTCGTATCGTTTATAGCTGTGTATAGAGTTTAAGTATAGAGAAAAGTGCTCAATTTTACTCATTTAAATGGATTATTCGTATAATTTGTAGTTTTTTTTTCCATTTTATAATATTTTCTCGTCAATTTTTATAGAAAAATAGAATTTTAAAACGTCAATAGATGAAATAGAAGTGTTTATTATGGAGCCATACACACGTTCTTGAACACCATTTGAATAGGTGTTGAGAATGTGCACAATTCTATTCTACTTTATACCAATTCTTATATTTTCTTACTAAGATCATAATCTGATTCTTGTCAACACCTTTTCAATAGGCATATCTGTATAGATGGTTGCACTTTTGCTATTTGTCCCATGGGGTGTCTCCTACTCGTGTAACACCAGAGGCTTCATTGGAAATTCCGTTTGTGTCACCGCATGCAATAATAGTAGCGTGTCACAATTTACATACCCTCCGTCTTTATTCATATGTGAATTGGACAACCTCTATTATTCACAGATACTCATTAGCGATATTTATTGTTGTACCATCAACCCCGTAAATTAATCAAACTTTCTAAATGTAAAAAAAAGGAAATTATTTTTAAAAAATCTCATTAATTTTTTGAGTTAAATATAAACGAATTTAATATATATATATATTTAAAANAATCCATCCAGATAAATCCACGCTTTTCCAATGCGTTTAAAAGAGACACCGACCAAAAACAAGTTGGAAAACAATAGTTTAAATTTGCATACAACACATCAAAAATAGAGAAAAATTAACATTAATTTCTAATGCTTACAAATAATAATTTTTGATTATGCGGGTTCGAACCAACCAATCATTTTATTTTTAAAATAGTGTGTTGTATTGACAAATCTTAAACCGTCGATAGTATATTTCTATCCATGAGAATACGAACCATTTTAAAATACCTTTATAGTAAGAGGATGGTGTTCGGATCCACACGGATTTTTTTTTTTTTTACTTAAACGAATGGGATTTCTTTGCAGAAAACTAAAACTTATCGATTATATATATGTTTTTTAAAGGTAATTGTGGCTTATTTCATCCCCCTTTTTCCATAAAGTCGATAGAGTTTCTCTACGCACCTGCAACGGTTAAAGGTCGTTAAGGCCCTTCTATTTTCCAATTGATCCATTTTTCTACTTTGCGTGTAATTATATTTTAGTTATTTATAAATTTCAATCATAATTTTTCAAAAAATACACGAACATTTTTTGGCAAAAATTATACAAATTGATAAACCAAAAAAAAAAAAATCTATTATTTTCGAATCAAAAATTAAATTTTGCAATGAATGAATTTATAATTTACTGTATTTAAATTACAAATACGAGAGGGTGTGGCGTTTGTAAATGATGATCTTGAGCAATAAAAATATAAAAAAATGTATATTAAAAATATATAATGCGATTATATTATTCATGAATATATACTTTTTTTTTTCTTTTTTAAATATATTTAAGATACGTTTCGTTGATTATGTATTAAAGTATGAGAACCCCCCTACCCTTGTAATACTAAAAACATTACTAGTTAAATACTTCTGTGAGTTATATTTTACTAACAAACTCCATCACGTAATTATACTTAAGTTTTCATTGATTTAATATTCTAGACAGTTTTATATAATAGGTTTATCGCAAAATAATACTTGACAGTATAGAGTATGGCCTTGTGATAGTTTCCATAATACACTCCACGTGACCATATCTGTGTAATTACATTAGCAGTAATTATTAATTTCACTCAGGTAATTATGAATGTATCAGTTTTTCTGCACACATCAGGTGTCAGCCTTAAGTGTAATTAAGTAAAATAATAGTTAATATAAGCATAACAATGAAAGATATTAATCATTTTAACGACTTGGACCTATTTTAAATTTAATTGTAAAATAATACATTATCTATTGTATAGTTCGTATCGTTTATAGCTGTGTATAGAGTTTAAGTATAGAGAAAAGTGCTCAATTTTACTCATTTAAATGGATTATTCGTATAATTTGTAGTTTTTTTTTCCATTTTATAATATTTTCTCGTCAATTTTTATAGAAAAATAGAATTTTAAAACGTCAATAGATGAAATAGAAGTGTTTATTATGGAGCCATACACACGTTCTTGAACACCATTTGAATAGGTGTTGAGAATGTGCACAATTCTATTCTACTTTATACCAATTCTTATATTTTCTTACTAAGATCATAATCTGATTCTTGTCAACACCTTTTCAATAGGCATATCTGTATAGATGGTTGCACTTTTGCTATTTGTCCCATGGGGTGTCTCCTACTCGTGTAACACCAGAGGCTTCATTGGAAATTCCGTTTGTGTCACCGCATGCAATAATAGTAGCGTGTCACAATTTACATACCCTCCGTCTTTATTCATATGTGAATTGGACAACCTCTATTATTCACAGATACTCATTAGCGATATTTATTGTTGTACCATCAACCCCGTAAATTAATCAAACTTTCTAAATGTAAAAAAAGGAAATTATTTTTTAAAAAATCTCATTAATTTTTTGAGTTAAATATAAACGAATTTAATATATATATATATTTAAAAATTAATTAATAAATTCTACTTAAAAAATTGCCAAAAAAAAACCAAGCGTGAAATGGTTAGAGTGTTTTTTTTTGCGTTAAATTTTTTAATTAATTGCCTATTATTATTATTAAATTGCTGCTTTTGTATTAGGGAATAGAAAGAAGAGATTCACTGCAATTCTATATAATTAAATATTGAAGATCCACCCCCTGCTGTATCAAATATTAAGTTTTGTAACAGACCCGAGCTAGTTGTACGGTTAGACACGTTCAAGTTTTTGTAGACAGGGTGTGGAGATATCGAACACACATCAAACTACCACGTTATTGCTGTAGTCACAATGGTAACTCTATAATTCATGTTACGACTCACACTTTAATGGCGCAATATAGGGGTATAAAAACTCTCTTTCCTCTATCCTTAATGTTGCTTATTAGGCTGATACATTGTAGTTAATTCGTTTGTAATACAAGTTG